TGGCTCAAGCCTGTAATCCCAGCACTTTGGGAGGCCGAGGCGGGTGGATCACGAGGTCAAGAGATCGAGACCATCCTGGTCAACATGGTGAAACCCCGTCTCTACTAAAACTACAAAAAATTAGCTGGGCATGGTGGCGTGTGCCTGTAATCCCAGCTACTCAGGAGGCTGAGGCAGGAGAATTGCCTGAACCCAGGAGGCGGAGGTTGCGGTGAGCCGAGATCGCGCCATTGCACTCCAGCCTGGGTAACAAGAGCGAAACTCCGTCTCAAAAAAAAAAAAAAAGTCCTTTCCTGTTAGACATACATACTGAAGGATTTTCAAGTGAAATGATATGATGTCTAGGCTTTGCTTCAAAAAATAGTACCAAAAAAACAAAAACCAAGACACGACGACAGATAAAACAAAAATGACAATGCAAGTTAATTAATCTGTTCTCTAATGAGAACACATGGACACAGTGAGGGAACAATACACACGGGGGCTAGTCGGGCGGTCAGTGGGCATGGGGATGGACAGCATTAGGACAAACAGCTAATGCATGTGGGGCTTAAAACTTAGATGATGGATTGATAGGTACAGCAAACCACCATGGCACATGTATACCTATGTAACAAACCTGCACGTTCTCCATTTGTATCCCAGAATGTAAAGTAAGATCCGTTATCTTTTCTTTTAGGTATATTAATTTGTTCTCTTTACTTTATAATTTTTCATAATAAAAGGTTAAAACTATATTCAGATTAGATCACAGAAAATAGATTTACTAAAAATTATTAAGAGATGTATGGGCATATTCCTAACAGATCAAAATCCTTTTGTTTCTCACCCTGATAGTTACAGGTCTGAACCACTGTATTCATTCTTACATTCTTAGTAGCGCCATGTTTGCTAGATACAGTCTTTCAAAAATACTGAGTAGAAAAAGATATGAACATTCAACAGGTGATTGTAACTAAGACCATTATTGGAAAAGCAGCTAACTCTTACAATGCTGCCAAGAATATCACCTGTTCTATGGACATATCTCTTAAAAACTGTATGTCAGTAAAAGACATAAGCATTTGCTCAATTAATGTACCTTGATCTATTACAACTCAAATACAACAGTGGTGATCAAGCAACAATTTGGAACACACATAACATTGCATACAATCTATTACCTAACTTTCAGATGTCAAACATCCAATAAAAGATTTCTTTTCATTATTGAGAAAGGTCTTTATTTGGTTTTCTTAACATTAACAACTACACTAGTACTTTTTCTAAAATACTGTGATAGGGTAAGTACTTCCTTAATAAAGCAAGAATTTGATGTTAACCACATTTGTTTGATCCAGTAAGAAACATGCCGTTCATTTTCTGATTGTTAGAAACTATCATACGTTTGTGTATCTTCATTTATCCCTATAGAGAATTTGAAAAGATTACATCCCTCTTCAGTTAACCTTATGCAAATAAATGTGACCAACTGTGTGTGTGTGGGGAGGGGTGGGCAGTTGGGGGAAACCCACAGGGAATGACAGTTTGTCATTTAAAGGTGAAAATCTCTAACTTCGGGTATGGCTTAAATAACAGATTTTTTAAGTCTTTAAGAAAATTCAGTATCTTCAAAAGAATGTTTTTTAAATGTACATAATAAAATTAAAATGATATATATCCCTTTAGACAGCTTTCTCTGAATTGTCTGATAATGAACATAAACATGAGAAGTGAAAGGTATTAATAGGAAATCTGTCACTTTCAGAGTACAGTTCTTTTTCCTACGATTTCTCAACTCAGTCAAATGCTTCAATGTTATCCGTTCATTCCCCCTGTATTCAGACAGGTTCTTATCTTTTTCCCCATGAGACCCTTTACAATTCTCTCAAGTTTCTTACTAAAACTAAATACAATAAACAAATATTTTCTTAAAACATACATGAACAATGCTTAAATTCCTAGTTTTTTCAGATATAAATTGGAACCTTCTGGAACTTTAGCTTTGTCATCTATAACATAGGGATAACCACATTGGTTCTGTGCAGGCTGCTATCAGAGTTAATAAGATAATGGCCACATATAAACTAAAAGCCCCAGCGTCAACTTTTCTTCCCTTGTTTTAACATTATTCACTAGGAAAATGTGCATATAAATATATATTATCAGAAATTATGGCTTATCTTAAAACATTCCCGAGAAGGCAAAAAGAATCCAAACAAGCTAACAGATTGTCATCACCATGATCCAGCACAACCATTCTGTTAGCAAATATTTATGGAACTTTCTGTAAATTATTGTATAATTAGCTGTTAGCTGCTGAGGTTGTCATACATTCCTTTTTGTCATTCCAAAATTATTTCTATCTATACTAGGTTTTCTAGATACGTTAAGATTATTTTTTAAAAAAATAAACTGTAAGTTCCTAAACATATAAGCTGCCCGTGAGACCAAGTTTTTCTAACAGTATCAAACAATAAACAACTTTGAAGGATTTGGTTTTCAGGTCCCATGGACATTGGTGGTCTCAGTAAAAATACAAAGCAGGCCAATATTGACTATGATTCAAAAGATTCAAAAGAATCGCTTGAACCTGGGAGGTAGTGAGCCAAGATCATGCTACTGCACTCCAACATACGCAACAGAGCAATACTCTGTTTAAAAAAAAAAAAAAAAAAAAAGTCCTTTCCTGTTAGACATACATACTGAAGGATTTTCAAGTGAAATGATATGATGTCTGGGCTTTGCTTCAAAAATTAGTACCAAAAAAAACAAAAACCAAAAGACATGACAACAGATAAAACAAAAATGACAATGCAAGTTAGCTAATCCGTTCTCTAATGAGAACACATGGACACAGGGAGGGAACAACACACACCGGGGCCAGTCAGGGGGTCAGCAGGCAAGTAGCTAATGCACGTGGGGCTTAAAACATAGACTGATAACTTCCCTTTTAAAATAATTATCTTATCCAATTATTCCCCAAATGCCTAATACTCTCATGTTTTTCAAACCAATCTCTCTCAAGTTGTATAGTGCATGAGTAAATGTAATCTAATAAAGCCAAAAACAACAACTTCCAATGAGCATTTAATATGTACTGTATTAATTTGTGCCACACAATTTACATGTATTTATTCCTCAGAGATTTCTAAGATACAGGTACTTTTATTACATCAATGTTAAAGGAAGGAAAAATCATTCTTCAGTTTTAAATACAGTAAGTCCTCATTTATTGTCATGGATACTGTGACACTGGAAATGTTCTTGGAAACTATGACTTTAAAAGAAGGACTCTAAGGACCAGGTGCAGCAGGTCCTTGAATAACATCATTTTGTTCAGCATTGTTTTGTTAAAACATTGACGAGAAAAAAATGGTTTTGTCACATCATTTTAGTGAAATCTAAATTTCCAAGAACCTATTAACAATTTTAAGTAAAAATGTACCGTAATTCCTAAAAATAAAACAGTTACAAAATATTGATTATAAGATCCCATCTCCTAATTTTTCATAAGCTACACATCATATACTTGTACCATTTCAAATAACACAAAAATTATTTTTCTATATAATTTGGAGATTAATTATTTTTAAAAGGGAATAGTCAACTTTATAATCTTTTTTTTTAATGAAACTTTATTTGGCCAAAAAAAGTAACAATAGGAAAAAAGTCAAGAAAGAATAGTAATCACAGTTCTACTTCTGAATTTTCATGTAGTATCCAATCTTCTCTACTTCACTGAGGACACCCTTATACTAGAAAATTATTACTATTTCTCAAACAAAATAATGCATCCTTTTTGTTGCAAGAGCTCTCTCTCACTGGTAACATATTACTAACAGAGAATTAGGATCATCTCCACAAACTAAGAAACTTAGTAGCCTTGACATCCTGCACCACATTTTATCAATGTCTGCTAACTGGTTAAAGCATTTTATATAAGTTCCTTACAAACTGTACATAAGCAGGAATAAGGTTATGTAAAACCCTAATCTGAAATCAATTAATTTTGATGAAAAACATTAAAGCCTAAATCAGTATTCATATTCAATAAATGTTTAATAGGAGTAACTCTAATCTTTATGATGAGCTTAGCAAGTTCTATTATTCTCTGGAAATAAACTGCTCACTCATGAGAGAAAAATGGTTCTTCTACAAACATTTAATGAATCCTTTTTTAAAAGCTTCTTGCCTACAATATTATTTTTACTAATAATGTCTGGAATGAGTATCAACACTGTAATTAACAGAGTGTTTAGATACAGCCCAAACTAAAGGCACTGAGATATGTTAAATGATCTTTCAACATCACTCTCAAATTAATATGCTATAATTCATTCTTATACTTGAAAAATTTAACTCCCAGAATAGAAACTAATTATAGTTTTTGGACTATCAATTAGCCTTACCAATACTAATCACTTCAAGTGATTAGGCATTCCACCTTAAAAAACAAAAGCAAACCCAAATAAACAAATTATCTTAAGCACTAATACGTGTTTATATAACTCCCATTAAACTCAAAAGCAAAACCATACTAACTTATAATTTATAAAATTCCCTTAAATCATTTGATGTATTGACTTTTTATCTCCTCCAGGAGAGGATGTTAGATTAAAGTGGATACATCCTTAAGAGAAAACAATGTGCTACCATCTTCTACTTGGTATGTGCACTCTATTCAATTCCCATTCAAGTTCTGTAACATGTCTAGATTTTCTATATTGGTCCTATTTTCCATTAATTCACAAACAAAATACCCCAGAATGCCATTTTTATCAAGTGTTTCACTTGCACCAACTGTAAGACATTCAAAAATATATTAAATATAAATAATGGTATAGATTTTGAGGGTAACGTAAGATAAAGGTGTTCTGGTTAGTTTTAACAAAAATATAGCAAACAATTATCTACAAATGAGAAATTTTATTTGTATTCAAATTATATATAATATTCCATGCTGGATGGTCTATCATCCCAAAGAATGAAGAATACAGAAAATGAAAATGAAATAAGGCGGCTTAGGTTCAAGTCCAAATAACTCTTTTTTTTTTTTTTTTTGAGACAGAGTTTCACTCATGTTACCCAGGCTGCAGTGCAATGGCGCCATCTCGGCTCACCGCAACCTCCGCCTCCTGGGTTCAGGCAATTCTCCTGCCTCAGCCTCCTGAGTAGCTGGGATTACGGGCATGCACCACCATGCCCAGCTAATTTTTTGTATTTTTAGTAGAGACAGGGTTTCACCATGTTGACCAGGATGGTCTCGATCTCTTGACCTCGTGATCCACCCACCTCGGCCTCCCAAAGTGCTGGGATTACAGGCGTGAGCCACAGCACCCGGCCCAAATAACTCTCTTAATTCAGCCTTCTGTCAGTGGAGAAGTGGAAATAATAATACTGCCAGAATTATATAATGTATAAGATTTCTATGACTGAATAAACTAATTTAAATGAAATTAATTTATATTCTATAAAGCATTAAATAAATGTCATCATATCAATATGTCAACATGAAACCTCAGAGCACCAGTGACAAAGAAAATAATTTAAAAAGTCTTAGAGAAAAAAAAGACACAAATGATTAGCAATCAGTATAATACTGGACTAATCAAGAGCACTATTTAAAACCAGGAGACAGTAGTCATATTTTCAAAATTATGATAGAAAATGATACTGAATTCAGAATTTTATACCTGGAAAAACTATTAATTTGAGAGTAAAGGTAAAATAAAGATATTGTCAGACATAAAAGAAAATTTACCTCCCATACATCCTATTTAAGAAAGATATGAAAGGCTTTCAGTGAAATGAGTAAACTAAGGAAAATATATGAAAAATAAGGGCTCTACTGCAAAAAAAGCAAAGAAAATTTCCAGGATAATGCTAAATAGGCTCTAAGATGACAATTGTACAGTAGCCTAAAAAGGCTACAATACTTTCTTTGCAAAGGAAGAAATAATTGATTGTTTGATGTATTTCACTGTACTGTAAGAAGTTTTAGTAATAACACATAGAAAAGGAGCCAAATCATGCAGCGCCTTACAGACTACAGAAAAAATTCATCCTTTTTCTGCTTGTAATAGAAGCACTAGAGGATTTAGACAGAGGAATGAATGATTTGATTTACAATTTTCAAAGAATTATCTGGCTGCAATGTTGAGAGGTGACTGAGACAGGAGTAGAAATAAGATAGCCAAATCAGAAAGGTGTAGCAGAACTTGAGATCAGAGTCTGTCCAATATGGTATTCTTTAGCCCCATGTAGTTATTAAGCACTTGAAATGTGGCTCATCTGAATTGAAATGCGCTTTAAGTATAAAATACCAGATTTTGAAGTTAGCAGAAGAGAAAAGTAGTAAAATATCTCAATAATTCTTAACATTTATTACATGTTGAAATGATAATACTTTAGATACATTGGTTTAGATGACATATATGATTAAAATTAACTTTACCTGTTTCTTTTTTAATGTAGCAATTATAAAATTTTAAATTGCAAATGTGGTTCCCATTACATTTCTATTTGACAGTGCTGATCTAAATGGTGACAGACTAGAATTTTTAAAAGGTGGAAGTGGTAAAAAGTACTGAATTCAGGATGTACTTTGAAAGTAGAGCCTACATAACTTGTTGGCTGAATAAATGTGAGGTGTAAGGAAAGGAAAGAAATCATAATTATTCCAAAAATTTTGTTCTCAGAAATTTGCTAAACGGTGGTGAAATATACTATGATAAGGAAATCTAGGATGAAATCCAAAGTTGCTTCAGGATCTGACACCTGAGCTACCCTGTTGAATATCCCAACAGACATGTCAAGTTCTAGTCTTAGCATTCACAAATAAAGGGTATACCATTCATAATGAGTACAAGCAAATGGCCCCCCCCCCAGAGTTATGTAGTGTTCAGCCTGAAAAGTTGTGTCTGACAACTTCACGTTAAGTATTCTCTAGATAGTGTATACTCAGCAAATATTGTTAATTGTCAGAACATAATGCAGGCATATAAATTTGATTCATGTGTAATGCTAGATTCTGCTACTAAAAACATTTAAGAAAACATAGTAATTAGGACTTCAAATGTTTTAACCTAACAGCCCAGGAATCAAATCCTATCACCACCACACTAAGGTGTGATGCTCAGCAAAAAAATGTTTAACCTCTCGGCTAGGCACAGTGGCTCACGCCTGTAACCCCAGCACTGTATGAGGCCAAGGCGGGCAGATCATGATGTCAGTAGATTGAGACCATTCAGGCCAACATGGTGAAACCCCACCTCTACTAAAAATACAAAAATTAGCTGGGATGGTGGTGGGCACCTGTAATCCCAGCTACTGGGAGGCTGAGGCAGGAGAATCACTTGACTGCAGGAGGTGGAGGTTGCAGTGAGCCGAGATCGTACCATTGCAGTCCAACCTGGCAACAGAGCGAGACTCCACCAAAAAAAAAAAAGTTTAACCTCTCTAGCCTTCTGTTTACTCACCTCTAAAGTAAAGGTATAATTTATCTCAAATAATGAGGATTAAGTAAGACCAAATAAGATAATGCATGTAAGGTAATTATATGCATTAATATAAATTAATATAAATATAAATATTATACCTGACACACCGAAAGCCTTAATATGTGACAACTATTAATAAAATTGTTCAGTAAGAGATAGAGTAAGTAACAAAACTATATGAAGATTTTTGGAGAGTTTTATTCTGGGTATACTTTAATATTTTAGAACATACAATATCTTATATTAGAATTCTCCAAATTAAAATCTCTTACCTGTAAGTAGTGTTTGGGACATAAACATCCCTTGCAGGAAACTCTAAAATTTCTCTGGTAGGTCTAACTCTACTGTCAGGGTAAAGCTTCACTTGAAGTAGCTCTGGAGTTAGGCAATAATGGGGATTTTCAGGTGCGGGAGAAATGTCTATCTTGAGCTGAGCTGCAAATTAAAATACATTAAAAATCAATGTAAACAAAATTTTAAAGCTCCATGTTAAACATGTTTTTGAAAGGACTTAGATCCAATTTTTGCAAGAAGCCTGGGAAGAATACTACAGAAACCAAATTCCTATTATCATCTCAGGCCTCTAAATCGTTTCATTTTGCAAAGTCTCAAACTTAAAAATTACTGATCCAGACATAAATGCATGTAAAATAATAAATGCTTATTAAATAAATGAATGGGAATGAAGGAAGGAAGAAGCAAAAAATAGAAAAAAAAAAAAAAAAACAGAGAGGGATCTGGCATACAAACAAGCTAACATTTCAAAGGTTAAATGACTTACAAAACTTCAAGACATTTTTACTATGGAATGGTTTGCTCCAACCATAATAGGAAGCCTATTTTTAATACTTACCCTTCTAGAAAATAATTGTAAGCCGTGATATTATTCATCACACTCACTGTAGTACAGTTATTCCCCCCCATTACCCGCAGGGGATATATTTTAAGACCCCCCTCCCCGCAGTGGATGCCTGAAACTGCAGATAGTACTCAACCTTATAGATGCCGTTTTTCCCTATACATACCTGCCTACAATAAAGTTAAATTTATAAATTAGGCAAAGAGATTAATAACCTTAACTCATAATAAAATAGAGCAATTATAACAATATACTATAATAACTGTTAATATGAACGTAGTCTCCCTCTCTCAAAATATCTTAGTATTTTCACACTGTGGTTGACTATAGGTAACTGAAACTAAGGAAAGCAAAACAACAGGTAAGTGGGGACTACTGTACTCAAGTACCAAAGATGCTAAATCCTGCATCAAAACTGTCAGATCATGTGATAGTTAATAAAGTGAAGAGGACTGACAGGCATTGAGCATAGAAAAATGTCTGGGCCAGATAAATTTTTAAAAAAGGAATACATAATTGTAATACAACATATTAGTGATAATAATAGTTGCAATCATTTCTACTCAAAATTTTTAAATACCTGTAATAGGTCTTAGTCGCCGTAAGACAGAAGACGGCCTTCTCATATCAGCAAGGAATTTGTAGAGATCTTCATCACTTAAGCGGTCTCCTTCCTGATTTCAATGATAGAGGAAAAAGTATTTGATAAAACAAATTATAGCCAGGCGTGGTGGCTCACGCCTGTAATCTTAGCATTTTGGGAAGCCAAGGCAGGCGGATCATCTGAGGTCGGGAGTTCAAAACCAGCCTGACCAACATGGTGAAGCCCTGTCTCTACTAAAAATACAAAATATTAGCTAGGCATGGTGGCAGGTGCCTGTAATCCCAGCTACTCAAGAGGCTGAGGCAGGAGAATTGCTTGAACCCAGGAGGCAGAGGTTGCGGTGAGCCAAGATCATGCCACTGCACTCTAGCCAGAGTGACAGTGCAAAACTCCGTCTCAAAAAAAATTAAATTAAAATAATTGTGATTATAAATATATTATACCAGTTTATTTCCTTTTTTATGCTTTCAAATTTTACTAAGATTTTTTCTTTATAGTCCATTATCTATGCCTATAAAGTATTACAAAATACCCTATATTTTTTCTTACTTATAGTCCATTATCTATGCCTATAAAGTATTACAAAATACCCTCAAATAAAGAAAACCAATACAAGTTAGAGACAGATGAAAAGCAGAAGAGAAAAATAAGAATACAGACATAGAATCAAAAAGCAAACTAATATAAATATACTTGAGTCTCGTAAATTTATTACACTTGAGTGCATATTTCTATTCAACTTTGTATCACAAGTTTCTCCAATACAAAGTCTGCAGCACTGGCTAAGCTGAGGAAGAAGAAGAGGGAAGAAAGGAGGGAGAGAGAGGAAGAAGGAGAGGGAGAGAGGGGTAAGAGGAGGGAATGAGGGGGAGGAGGTGGGAAAACTACTGTTAAGGAAAATCACAACTATCCTGATACTAAGGTCAGAAAGAAAACTCCAAAAGGACTTTAACAAATATGAAAAGAGATCTCAAAAAAAAAAAAAAAAAAAAATTACCCATATCTGATTAACACAAAATGTTCAATTTAATGTTAATATTTTTCTTCTTATAATTAAAATAGGGTTGATTTTATTCTTTTATTGAAGAGTCTTTAGATTTTATTAATCCCATCTTCTTGCTTTGACATTTTATTGTTTTATGCATATTTCGTATATTGTCCTTTTATCTTATTTGGTAATGAACATATTTAAGGCTACTTTATTACTGTCAACTCACCTTGAGCCACATCCCATTCGTTCATCATTATATTCTAAACAAGGATACAGAATTGATCTTATTTATCTCATTATTTAGAAAAAATAAATTTTAATTTCTAAGTGGTTATAGTTTTTTATTAATAACTTAAAAATAGTTTTTAGTTTTATTGAGTTATTAGAAAATTTGACTTTAAAAGGTTTTGTCAGTGACCCAAAATAATTACTGTAAATGTTCCATCAGTTGCTGAAAAACTGTATTCTTTCCTTGTGCATACAGAAATAACATAAATTTTTTTGAGACTAAGTTGCCATACATGAAATATCGATCTTTAAATGGTCTTTATTCATAATATATTCAGATTGTCTCCAGTCCTCATTATTTTGATTTCACCCATTAAATTATATTTTCTCTTTCAGAACTTAAATTATATCATTGGTCTCCCTTCTTTACTCCGTTTCCATGCCCTTTTGGTGAGTGAGGCACAATTCCCTCCCTAGGCTTGGCCACGCGCCTTGCTTTGCCAATAAGCAAACATGATGCAAACAGAGGCTTCAAAAGCATTTGCACAATTTAGTTTGCCCTCTTTCTTGAACTTTTGTCACATCTATGAGAACATGACCAAGCTAGCCTGCTAAAAGATGAGAGGAGAATTTGAGAGACATGTCACAGAGCTGAGTCATTTGTCTTCCCAGTAAAAGTCAGCCTACGTTAGCTGATCCCAGCCAACCTCCAAACTTGTGAATGAGCCTAGTTCACTGGAGCAGTCTAACTGATACCCTTACCTCTACATTGCTTGCTTATTGTCCTGTACCCCTGAAGAAATAGACAACTTATATATCTGTCAACAAATAGAACAAATGTCTTCAAAACTATTATGTGGGTTTGACTTTGTTTTTAAATATCTATATATTTCTAATAATTTTGACTTCACACATTTTATTTCGAGACGAGGTCTTACTTTGTCACCCAGGCTGGAGTGCAATGGCATTATCATTGCTCACTGCAGCCTCAATCTCCTGGGCTCAAGCAATTCTACGCCCTCAGCCTCCCAAGTAGCTGGGACTAAAGGTTGGTGCATATGCACCAACATGCCCAGCTAATTTATTTTTTTACTTTTATAGAAACAAGATCTTACCATGTTGCCCAGGCTGGTCTCAAGTGACCCCCCCCCCCGCCTTTGCCTCCCCAAGTGCCGGGATTACAGGCATGAGCCAACATGCCTGGCAAACGCATTTTAAATCTGTACATAAACGCTAATGATTACTATATCCCTGCTGTAGACAGTAACGTCTCATAAACTGAAAAAGAAAAAACTGTCTTCTGTGTCTCATTCAGGGAAAATCTGTACCTTGAATTATTCTTAATTAAAATGGTAATCTCTTTTCAAATTTAATTTGCATTTGCCTGATGCATAATTTTCTAGCTATTTAAAAATATTTATAAAAATAGTACATGCTCATGGTTTCACAAATTAATACAGAACTGTATTAAACATTTTCTGTATTGTAATCATCTTCCACTGCTCCATGTTTCCAGCAATCACTTATTTTTAAGTTTTCATAAGCACTTTGTGCTACTTCCCAGTTATAATAACAGTATTCAAAACAGTGTCCAGACATGATGATGAATGCTCAAAAAATATTTGTTGGATAAACAGATAAGGGTAGATAGCTTATTGATCTAAGCTTACAACATCAATTTATTGATAAATAGCAGGCTGAAGAAATGAAAAGAAAGCTGTGGAAATAGCAGCAGAAGTCGTGTAGCAGCTGAAGAAGTAGAAAGAGGGGGAGGTAACATACCTGCAAGGTTGTGTCACTGTAGCAAAGCTACTGCCCCATTTCCATAGCTATAACTGGTCTAACACTTTATGTAAATATAGCCTTCTCTAGACTCTCTTTTACTACTGTCCATAATAAAGAGAGCAATACCACTTGAGATATTTATCACTGGCTTTTTTTCCCATGAGTCTCCGAGAGCAGCTGGCTATGAATACTACTGATATGTAAAGTGAAGGAGGCTTCAAGTAGATTGCTACCTGTATATTCA